ACCGAAGACATCGGATCGGATCAAGGTCTGCTCGATCAATCCAAATTCGTTCGCTCAGTCTGATTGTTGTTCTCCCATTGACCGCTCATTTCGAAGTCTAAACCGTAACCCTAATTTTTAGAGGAGAAACCCTAGATGGAGAGAAGTTTTGACGAGAGCTCTGGAAATTTGAACGAGGATGAATATGTTATGCGGGGCCCAGAGAAAGGGGTGATGGAAAAAGACGAAAAACCCCATTCATATTTTTAACTGTATTAACGGTCCTCTTCGACCTTTCCGTTTGTGGTAAAGGGTACAAGAGCCGAACACCAAACATGGAAACTGCTAATAGAAAGGCGCCATGCAAAAGGTTTGGATGAGCAATTAAAACTTGTTTGTGTAGGCACATATACTACGTTCTAATAAAGTAGGGCACGGTTACGACTTACGATACATACGGAGTGTAACAAATCTAGTTGTACACACTTATTATAATGTATGTTTGATTATTCATTTTTAATGATTCACGCCATGCATTATGATCTATACATTCCTGATCAAAAGTCACATAGATTCAATAAGTTTTGATCTATACATCCAATAACCTAGAAATGAACAGCCGGTAAAAGTCTCAGAAACCAGTTATCTTGAGCTACTAGAACTATAGGATTGAAAATTCCAAACCATGAAACTTATGATCCATTCGATTTTGATGATATGATGATATATATTGATAAAAATGGACAGTTGGCTAGCAATATATATGGGCAAATCTCTTTTCTGCCAGGTGTGAGTAACTAGTTAGTTACACCATGTGTGGGGGTTAGGGGTGCATTCGGTCCGGATACGGCTCGGATATGATGCTTATCATATCCATATCCGCTTACCCATCTCGGATACGGATACGGATATACCTCGGTAAGAAAAATTTATAACCATATCCGCTAAAATCGGATACGGTTATGGATATACATTCGGATATATAAACGGATATGCATGCGGATACAAAACAGATATGAGAAAACTAGACACTATTGAGAAAAACATAGTTCATGTGACACAAAAGAGTTCGTTAATATGTCCATTATAACTAAAAAATTAAGATTAGACATCTTGATCATCAAAATTAACCACAAATCAATAATTTAAGAATCAAAACTATAGTAAGAGTATGACTAATATTTATTCGGATATTTCGGATACGGATATAAATATTTCACTACAAAACCATATCCATAACCATATCCTATCGGTTATAAATTATTTCTTGGTTTTTCCTTTTTTTTTTTGCGAAAATAATGGGGGGAAATTTCCCTCCGTTGGGCGTGTATGTTAAATTCAGTTCGCCCCAACGGTTTAAACCGTTGGGGCTGATAAAATCAGCCCCAACGGTTGTATACACCCGTTGGGGCTGGATATCTTTTTACTAGTGAAATTTGAGTAACCATATTCGTATCCTAACGGATACGGTTTCGGATATTTCATCGGATACGGATACGGTTTAGCACCCCTACTGGGGGTTCATAAAATCCAAGGCACATAGCATTCTGTAACATTTTAGAAATGAAAAACTTTTGTTTGTTTCATATAATTGCCATATTGAAAATTTTAGAAAAGAGGAAGATTGAGATCATATAATGGAATTATTGAGAAGCGTGAATATGATGCAACATTCAAAAATTTTACGTCAGTATCCAGAAAAGAAAAGGGTAAATTTTAGAAAACTTCCTTAACTATAGGAGTTATGCTCAAACCCTTTAAAATTAGAAAATATCACGAAACTCCACTAGATTTTGGAGAATTTTCAAACTTCGGAGTTTGATGAAAAACATCACAAGATTCAAGTAGGTTTTCTGAACTTTACACAAAATAAAATTAATGATCTTGAAAGCTATATAATCACATAGCTAAAAGAGAATTTGATATTTTATTTAGAATCGTAGTGGTTCCAATCAAATTCAAGGCTCCAGAGCTGACAAAAGAAAATTTGGATATTCTCATGGCATAAGATCCTCTAAATTTACAGACGAGATAATCCCAGTAGCATCCTCTGCAATGATAAATCTCACGCAACATAAACATTTCCTGAATAACCCAATAAACCTGAAGATCTTCAGTTTCATCAAAATCGACTACACTTTCTGTTGAAAACAAATGAAGTAACATACAATTGTCTGGCCAACATAGAAATAGTACCCCTCAATATACAGGATTCTACAAGCTTATGTGACTGGATTATCTGAACAATGCAACATTTCAAAAAAAGAGCACAAGCATAACCATAGTAATCCCATATTCACAGCTCAATCAATACTCTTCCATTTAGACGCTTCATGTGATCAACAGCAACATACAAAGCTTCCAACTCCAACGACACGGCAAAGTTTTCAAAGAGAGAAGCTAACCATAGTAATCCCATATTCACAGCTCAATCAATATTCTTCCATTTAGACGCTTCATATGATCAATAGCAACATACAAAGCTTCCAATTCCAACGACAGGGCCAGATTCTGTCACTTAAACTTGGAGTAGGAAGTATCTAACTCGAACATCTTTAACAGTTGCCTGATAGTTTCTTCATTAATTGGGAATCTCTCCTTCCTCTAGTTCCTCTTCTCCCAAGAACACTTCCAAATTATCCATTCCATTGAACCCATCATCCAAACACAAGAAATCGTCAGGATTTATTTCTCCAATGAGATCTGAATAAGCATCTCTAAGTTCTTGCTGAAAGTCAAAGGTAGCATTTCCTGAAGTCTCCAGTGAATTTAATAGCCTGTTGCTATACATATCACCTTTCTCCACTGGAGAAACTAAGGGCACTGAACCTTCCGCAATTGTACTCGATACCTGCATATTGTAATCATGCAGGATTCCAGCACCGTTGCAATTTCTTTTAGCCTCGTTCTTTTGAAAAGAATGAGGCCTTAATCCATTAGCAGCTTCTCGTGGTATCTGAGTATTAGGGCTTGTCAATGAATTCATTTGACCCCTGAGATCTGTGACAATAGTATCAGGGAAAACTTCACCTTCTTCTATTTCCTCCTCTATGAACAAGTTTCCCTTTGGGCTCAGCTTCCTGTCAAAAGGTCTTGGAGATTCTTCTTTCTTAGATGATAGTGTTACACATTTTTCCACTTCGAAGTCATAGCTATGTGAAGGAAGATAGACGAAGATCACAGGATACTCCAGAATAACAACGTTAGCTAATTGAATGTCTATAGGGGCCTTTATATCCAGCTCCCGAAATGGTGACTTCAGCCCCTGCAAATGTAAAAAAAGAGTTGAGTGCAATTTACGTTTAGAATTTCAAAATCTACGGTTAGGGAATACATGATACCTTTGGGTTTTTCCGAATGAAAAACTTCAAATCTTCTATTTGTACATTGCGATACGGGCTAAGCTGATTTTTCAATGGAGTAGGTGCTAAATGTTTCTCAATCACAGAGAACAAACAGACATGTTCATCGACTCTGTAAGATAGAAAAGTTAAAATCTATTCTATGGGAATTCCCAAATTCATAAGCTCTACTAATTTATGACATAAAAAGGTCATACCGTGTAGTGTGCTAACATACTCAATCTAGTATTTCTCAAGAAGTGGATGGACTCTTTAAAACTCACCTATTATCAACTAGGACAACATCTGTTCCATGAAACCTCCATTCAATTGTCCAAGAAATAGTATTCTTCCTGAGAAATACCCAAAAAAATGTCAGTGAATAAGGCACCTTAAGGAGACTCAAAAGGAAAGCAACAATGGATGAAAATACTTAAGGAGAGAAGGAAATTCTTAGAAGTTTCCCAATCATTTTTCCATTTTTTGGGTATATTATGCAACGAGCATCAGCAAAATAAAAGGATAAACGAGATATATAAGTGTGAGCTGAAATTTCCACAAATTTAATGATTTTTCTCATAATATCAGGACAGACATTTACAGCAACTAAATTCAGGTATTCTGCTATCAAAAGTTCACAAATAAAATGATGGAAGCAACATGGAAAGAGATAGAAGGATAAGGAAGAATAACAAATATACATGGATTATAATCACAGAAAAGAAACAACAACAAAGCCTATATCACAAATTTACAGGGTTGAGTACATGAATCATATTCTTCCATTTAGTTCTTTTGTGGGTCATCTCCATTAAGTTAACTATTATCATATCCTACTTAATTGCTTTCATTCAAGTTCTTTTAGGTCTACCTCTAGTTCTCTTTGACTCATTGACTCTATTTTTATCACTTCTTCTAACCAGTGCATGTATTGGGCTTCACTGTACATGACCAAACCATCTCAATCGATTATTTCTCATTTTATCCTCAATAGGAGAAACCTATAGCCTCCTACAAATAGACCTATTTCTTATCCAGTATCTCAGTGTACATCCGCAAGACCATTAACACTCATTTCTGCTACACTCGCTTTTTTCGCATATTGTCTTTTAATTGCCCAACATCGTCATCATAAAAGCATTGTTGGTCGTATAGTTAAAAGTTCTTCTAATTCTAGGAATTTTTCTACTTCAACCTAATAGATATTCCACGATCACATAAGACTCAAGACACCTCTCAATTTCAATCATCCTGATTTGATTTGATGACATCACCCTCGACCTCATTGTCACTACTACGATTAGTATTACTTTCCCCCCCAGAACACTTTCTGGTATTTGAACATGTATCAGATGGGATAATGGAAACCTTTGATTCGGATAGTTTGCATCAGAGACCCCATGCTAGTGAGATGGTAAGTCTACGAATTCTCTGAAAAGTGACAAAAGGAACTCTATGTTCAAAGACTGCTAGAGGAATTTTAGAGAAGTTCCTTTAGTCAGATATTACTGGAGTATTTGTACTTGGAAGGTTTCAAGGCTTAAACCCTACAGAACCACAACTAGAGTTTTTTTCATGGATGGAAACTATGCAATTGCACATAAAATTTAAGGCAAGAGTTGTCGCAAATTTATGAAAGAAAGATTTGCTAATTTGTTAACATGCAATATTCAGATGCTACTTCTTGACCCTTACTACTCATCCATTGAATCCAGAATCCTTACATAATGCAAACCATGATTTCCAATCATACGTTGTGGGTCAAATGAATTTTGAAGTTTCCTTCTCATTTGGAATTTTTTCCTTTTAAGGTTGTGGAAAGTGGAGTGAGGCAGTAAGATGCTACTTAGGCTTTTGGGGACTTAAGCAAGAAGAAGCTCCTACTCAAATGTTCTTATTTTTTAAGGATAAAAATTCAAAAAAAAAAGGAAAGAAAGGTGAAAATCTGAAAATCACAAGACAAGCAAATATTGGAGGAAAGTTTTTATAAATGCACATGTGATGCTTATAGAGATCCTAAGCAAGAAACAGAGGTGTACCAATGCTTCGTATGCCCTTTAAAGTGTGAGTTAGGGAAAATCATTCCATGGTCAATAGTACCTTAACCCTTTTGGATATTACCTTCTAATACTATCCTAATTATCCAAACTTTTAAATATTGGGATATCCAGTTCAAATTTAATTAGACAATCCAAATTTAAGTAGGAGTTGAATTTTATCTTTAATTTTAATACATTATTGTGCAGCATCATATATTTGGAATTATGTAAGTTCTCGATCATAAGTTGGTTTCATTATAATTTCATGATAAACAAATGTAATCTCAACATTTAGAATAAAAGATAGCAAATACAACAAATGCTCTACATTTGTTCTCATCATTTATATGTTCTAACCAATTTCTCTTTTGACCACACAATGCAACTATTTTCTGTTTATTAGCATAGCTATTAGATGGAATTTCTCCACATCAGATTCCTAGCAATCCGATGGAACAACATTAGAGATTCAGTATGAATTAATGCAAACCATGACTGGAAATGATATTCTTAATAAAAGCTAGCTATTCCTTTAAAATTTTTCAGGATAAGGACATGAGGTATAAGATGCTACAAGAATTGAAAATTCAGGCACAAGGAGACAATTATATAATACTATTAAATATTAAATATAATAATATCATAATATTATTATAATATTTGTTAACAATGTATATTTAATTAATAACATTAAATACTTAAATGAAATTATATAATTTATGAAATTTCAATTATTATATAATATATGTTTAGATAATAGTATTTAAGCCATTTTTAACATTTGATTGTAAATTTTATTAACTAGGATATTATTCCCATCCTATAATATTATCTATACATACTAAAACGGTAACCATCATTACCACTTTGCAACTTTCTAGCACACCATGACTATTTAACTTTTTAGCACACCATGACTATTCAACTTTTTAACTTAAGTTTACAAGAGCTTACTCAATTAACAAAGTGAAGCTAGAATAAACTTAAGTTGATTAAGGGCTCAATCCACCAACTTTTGTATCCATTATTTTTGCTTTGAGACTCCTGTTGTCATGTGCTATGAGATGTGTGCCTTGATATGTATCACATGACAACATGAATATCAAAGTAAATCTAATGGATAAAAATGTTGATGCACAAGAGCTTTTATCCATTTAAATTTACAAAAACTTTACCTAATAATCAATAAATATTCTTTCTCGAATACACACACCTTCTATAGTGATAACCAATGGTCAACGAATCCTCTCATTAATGCAATGTGATGTGCTTTTAAGAAACTGGGTATAGTGATATTATTTACCTCATTGCCTAAAACGGGTATCATGATGTACTTAAAATGCTCAGTCAATGAATACAAAAATTTCATTGACCAAAAAAAATAAAAGAAGTTGCACATACACATTCAATGATACTACAATATTATTGAAAACATAATTAGTAATTACTATAATAATTTTTGTAAATTATAATAATTTTCATCTCTTTTATAAATTATATTTGTTTTTCAAAACAAATCAATGAATTTCGGGATGCAAGTATATTTGAGAAGTAAAGTTTCTCTAAGAGATGTGAGAGGGAATTAGTCAGCCAACGGGTTTGTTAAGCATGCCCTTAGTAATAGAAACCACCAAGTGTGGAAGTACAGCTTTTTCTCTCGGTTAAGCTTTGCATTTAAGTTTTATTTTTATTGCATTAAAGTTTTATTTTTATTCTTTTTTCAACATGCAACATCAACTCATGCTTAAATACAATTCCATTAAACAATAGTATGTTTTTTGAGAAAACATGATGGCTTCTTGAAAATAATATCCTTTATATTGTTAATTTTATTTCTTTTCATTATGTCGTTTGTACCTAAAATGAAACCTTTCAATATCTTTAATATTAATGATTTACTTATAATTGTCTTTGTGCGTGAACATTGTAATTTATGTGCATAACATAGGATAAAAACTACGATTATGCACAATATTAGATAAAATTATTTTACAAATTTAAATTCGTAACATAAAAAATTAAGTCCACGTGTAATGCATGTGCATTATAATATTAAATAGAAACGTGCAAGCTTACAAATAACTTATCAAACATCTTAGACCGAGCATAAAGAGATTTGATGACATTCATCCCCAACAGACCGTCTCATCAAATATAGGATAGGGGTTTTTATTATAAGCCCAAAGTTTTTCTTGATTTATTTTTAAACCCAGTCACTTCCAGAATAAGTATTAAACCCAAAAGACCACGTTGGATCAATTTTAATTCCAAATTCTACATTTTCATCTTCAATGTTTTTGCTATTGTTTTATCTAATTTGTTATATTCAAGTTGAAATTGGCATTTTTATTTAAGCAATACTATCCTTTGGGCTAATTTGCTATACCTTTTAAATGTCGTTATAAAAATGAAGAAATAAAAATCTAGGTTTAAAAGTAATTCAATATGGTATATTGGATTTAAAAATGATTCTGCAAGGAGACGGTTTCAAAATAAATCAGTGTAAAGTTCGTATTTATCAACGAAAATACCCTAGAGATTATAAACTAGTCTTATATGTTAAGCTTCGGTACACCAAACAATAATTTATGAAGTACCTACAACATATGTAATAAATATGTTCCAAGCAAATCATTCTCTATTATTCCCCTTTCATCGGTGCAGTATCTAATTAGAGTTCCGCTAGCAATATCATAAATATCTACGTTTGTAAGGGTTGTTACAAAAGGAATTTTTCTCCAGATTTTCTTCATCTGAATCCATCGCTCCTCACCAAGCACTTACCCACCAATTTCATCAAAGCCAATCCTATTTTGAACTAGAAAATTTAACTTTTTCTTTAATTCTTGACTTCACCAATCAAACTCATCACCTCTGATTAGCTTTTCATTTGCTCCAAATATTTTACTTTCCTTTTTTCCATCTATGCTTTAGTTTTTTAACCTTTTGGTGATGGATAAAAGGAGAGTTTGGTATGTTAAACAAATACGAAACTAATGTATGGTAATTCAAGCATAATCACTTGATGTTGCCCGGAGGAAGTGATATAAAGAGCCTGATTACAATGATGATGAAAGCGAGAGGAAAAAGTACAATATTTCCCTTTTAATTAAAAATAAATAAAAAGCTATTGAAATACCGAAGAGAGCCTCATCCGGCAACTAACTCCAAATTCCTCTCCTTAATAAAAGGGATATTTTTAATAACTGATACGAGTCGCCGTGCGAGCACCTTTGATCGTAGAATTATCAAAGGTGGGTTGAGAAGAGGATGACACTGATACGAGTCGCCGTGCGAGCACCTTTGATCGTAGAATTATCAAAGGTGGGTTGAGAAGAGGATGACAGAAAACACAAGAACCGTGCGAGCACCTTTGATCGTAGAATTATCAAAGGTGGGTTGAGAAGAGGATGACAGAAAACACAAGAACAATTCAGTATGCGGCGAAGGAAAATACCCTCTCTAGATTATGTGAAAATTGTTGCTCACACTTTTTAAGGAGGAGATTTTCTGATATTCAACATACTAAACTCTTGGGTAGTATATATTGTATTATGCTATAATGCTATTCATCTAAAATAAAATGGCATCAGATTGTGAACTACAACATTGCGAGTATGACCCCAACGTTAATGCGCAGTATAGCTTACAATTAGCAAAAACATATTGAATGAAATAAGCAGCAGGCTTATTCCAAGACCAAGAATGAGCTAAAACCTGCAATCATATCGAGACTGATTCGTCTTCCTCTTCGACATCCCCGGCGGCAAGAGGAGCAACTTTGTTCTCCTCCTATTTGCCGCGCTCCTAAGCATCAACAGGCTCTTGGGCAACTTGAATCCAATGTACCCACGAAACCCATTGATCGCACCCGCCGTTCTACGAGCCGATTCCGTAACCCTCTTCGTCTCCTCCAGCAAATTATAATCTAAACATATAATAAACCCAGCAAAATGAATCATTTATTGAAAATGATCAAATGGGTGTTTGAGATTGAGAGAAAACGAACCAGAGATGAGGAGATTGTCGTCGAATTGGGATAAGGGAACGAACTCGGTTCGATTTCGTTTGCCGGTGCAATTAGTGCGAGATTTGTGGGATTTGACGCAGGGAAGGCTGCAGGATTTGAGGGAGCAGCCAGGGCAGCGGTATTTCCATGGGGTTGAGTTGCACTCGTCGCAGAGGGAGGGGGTTCTAGGGTCAGGGTTTGGTGAGGTTTCTACATCCGCCATTAGAGAAAGAGAGCTCTGAGGAGAGGAAGGTTTTTTATTTTTTTGGAAGGGTTCTTGATTTTATTGGTGATTTTGAGGGTTTAGGGTTTTTGTGGCGGTTGAGAGACTCGAGAGGACTGAGGAAGCGAGTTACGATTGATAGGGGCAATGTTTTGGGCGTCTAGAATCTCAATTGGGCCTAAGTAGTGGGCTAGATAAGTTTCTTAATTAGGGAAATGATTCCGCTTTATTTAAAAAAATGTTCTAACGCAAAGTTTTCATCTAACTAGTTGAGATCCACGTACAATGCACGTGGTTGAATTTTATTATTATTTAAATTGATAAAAATAGAATAAAATAAAAAAATAAAGTTTTTTTGGAATTGATCATCAACTCAATAATCTCTCTCTCAAATAAAATATTGTCATTATTTCCTTTGATCCAGACTGTAAGTTTTAGACCCTAGAGGAGGGTGATTAGGGTCTTATGCTAATCTAATCCGATTTTATATCTGTTTTCGGTAAAAGTTGCCTTTATTACTGAACTCATTATAATATTAGTGTTTACAAAGAATTCAGATCTTAATCAAAAGAAAAGAAGAAAAATTATAACTTTCTCGAAAATAACACAAGATCCGTTCGTCGTCTCTTGCTTGCGTGGGTCTTTAGCCTGTGACGGGGATGTTGATATCCGTGGACTACCTGGCAATCAGATCAGGTCCAGAGCTTCGTCGATCCGCGAGGAGATCTAGAAACAGAAGCGCTTATCTCGACAAAAGCGAGATAATTGCTCTTCCTAGAATTACCACAACGGGATAATACTAAGGATTGGATACAGGTGATGTAGATCTGACGACTCTCGATCTCTTGCGTTGAAGAACTCGATCACTCTTCAATCCTGCAGGGCTTCGTCAATTCTCCAAAATTCCAGATCTTGAAAAATGAGGGCCTGAGGCTTGTATTTATAGGCCCGGGGGAGTTTGGAGCGGTTAAAACCACCTAAAGGCCCAAATCTATGTTGGAGACACCCCAGGGTGTCTCCACTTGATCCGAGACACCCTAGGGTGTCTCCCCTTGATCCGAGACAACCTAGGGTGTCTCGGCTTTGGGCGGGACACCTTGGGGTGTCTCGCTTGGCCGAGACACCTCGAAGTGTTGAGACGCCGCTTTTTTTTGTATTTATCTGTTTCCGCCGTAATTCCTTCGTCCGAACTCGGATTTGAGTGATTCGAAGTGTGTTGGAAAGCCGACAAGGAGTTCTATCAGCTCCGATGGTTGGATCATCTGTAGAGTGAATGAGACACGAAGGGCATTGTTCCTTTTGTAAACATCGCGGGGCTCCTGATTAGCCCGTACCTTCGTTAGTTCACGTAGTTCGTCGATTTACTTCAAGCGTTCATCGACATCAATCGAACTCCTGTGAACCGGATAGTGACGTTCATCGTCGTTCCTTAACACTGAGCTGTTCATGGAGACCTATAGGCAATTTCCGATGCCTACAATATCCATTAAAACTAATTAATAAATTATTGTTGCAAGATAGATATACAATATGTTACAAGCAAGAATAAGCAATATGAACAAAGAGCAATATCCTAGCAATGAGATATAAAGTGAAATATATGCAAGGATATATAAACTAACACAATGGTGAAATAAACAATCTACAAATGTGATAGGATAATTTACAATGGCGACAAGAAAGTTATGAACACTAAACACAAATGAAACGCCAAAGCAAACTCAAACACAAGCAAATGATCACGGAGTTCGGACCTTCCGTCCTACGTCTCCGCTCCCCACTCAAGGGGAGAAATCCACTATCACAACCAGGTTTTCTACGATCACCCGAATAACGTTTACACCACACAATACCACAATGTAACTACACTCCACACCCTCTAAGTGTTGGTCTCTCCGTGTCCTTCCTTAAGTGCTCGGATACAACCTCTCCCTAGGTTCGTCAACCGACGCAACTCCTCTTGGAAGCAACCCTAACTCTCACCACACACTCCTCTCGGTGTACTAGTACAATACAAAGTGAATCTCACAATTAAGGCTCACAAATACAAATATGTTCTCTACAATAGATGAGAACTCAATTAAGCTCACTCTCAATTGTTATAACTCCTCACAACCTAATTATAGAATGTATGCAAATACAATAAGCTCAATGGTTGTGTGCGTAAGCAATGAGAAAATCAATCATAAACTCAATGTAAACCCTAGCTTAGTGAAAATGATAAACAACAAAGAATTAATATAAAGCTAGTATTGAGTTTAGGAATTCTTCTCTGAAAAACAAGATGGAGATGGATTAAAATGAAGCCCAAAGAATGTAGATGATCTCATCCACTTGTGAAACAATCTTCACAAACCAAACTATTTTAAAACAAACTAAACAAACTTTAAAACCCTCTTAAACTTGTTTAAAACTTTCTCAAGTGGTTGCTAATAGAAGAGGGTTTGAGGGGTTTATATAGGAAGAGAAACCAACAGCCAAAACCCCAAACAAAATAACAAAAATCCCAGAGAATCAGAAATTTGATTCTGTACCCAATATAGCCGTTGGGCAATCGGCGGTCGACCGTGAAAAACTCGCGGTCGACCACGAGCAACTAAAAGGCGGTGGTGATGATGGCGGGGGGGGGGGGGGGGGGGGGTGGGAGGGGGGGGGGGGGGGGGGGGGGGGGGGAGCCACTAAAAAGCATATTGAGTCTTTGGAGTCAAGGGCGGTCGACCGTGGCTTAACCATGAGTTCAAAACATAAAAATGTGAACACATGAGTTTTAACATTTTAGCTTAACCATGTTTTAAAACATTACAAAATGATTTTATAGACTTGAAGACAGATGTAAACTATTGTTATGAAGTCTATAACCAGTGAATATAGTATTTTATCAAAATACACATATAATGCACTAAAACATGATTTCATTGAACAAAATAAAATTGATATTGATAAAATCATATATATGCATATAAGTATGAAACAAGAAATGTGTTTTTAATTGTATTCAAATGTTTCTACTAACACACATAATATAAAACCTAAACTAAATTACCCAAGCTTGATCTTGATCTTCAATAGCTTGACATGGTAATCTTACGGATGAAGCTTGAACTTGGATCTTAGACTTGAATTGCATTGCTTCAACCACTATATCCGCCAACCTCCATTTGATATGATCATTATGACGCAATTCATCCAACCTCCAACTTGTTGTTTGTCTACAATAAATAGAAATACATAAATACTAGAGAAACAATATTAGTAGTAAATTATTTGTTAAACATCATCAAAACACTAAGGCCAACAATCTCCCCCTTTTTGATGATGACAAATAATTTACAAAAAAGGATATATGCATGAAAGAAATGAATATATAAATTAGAATTATCATGCATATAAACAAGAAAGAATATATTCATAATATTTTCCCCCTTTGACAATATCAAAAAGGGGACAAAAGGATGAAGAGAGCGAAAGCTCCCCCTATCAATATGCATGGGTGAGTATAAAAAAAATAATAGAAAAGGAAAGACGTCCCTTATCAAAATGCCTTATGGAAGATATGCAATAATGATCAAGGCACACATATGTGAGCCAGCATAGATGAGTATGCTGAATATCACTCATATACAAAAAGACAATGAGAACACATAAAGATGTATTACTTATAAAATAAGTGTCTCATTACACAACTATAAAAACATAGTGTATAAGAATAGATTTATAAAATCAAAAGAAGAGGAACATAAGAATCATGTAAAAAGTTTTCAAATGAAAACAAATTAACCAAATAAAATCATAAATCAAATTTTAAGCCCAAAAATGATGTTTGATCAATAAAAGAATTTTTCTTTGTAAAACTTGATCAAACCACATAAAGAATACATTATAAAGAATATTTGAAATTTGAATCATCTATTTGTGCTTATATAATGAATTCAAAGCAATAAATCAAAACAAAATTTTTGATAAAATGCAAGAGAGGTAACAATATATCAAGCTCTTAAGCTTGTTCCAACCCATATAAGGACTTTAGTACCCGGTAAACAAGATTTGGGAATAAACACCCGATAAACCCGGAGGGTTATATAAACACAAACCTCTCATCAAAATCAAAACTAATAATCATGAAAACAAAAGATTTAATAAAAAAAAATTTATTTTTATAACCAAAAGATTTTAAAACATAATTTTCAAAACCAAGAAAAGGAAAAAGAAAAATGCTAAAATACTTGGTTTAAAAATTAAATTTATTTTCGTACCCAAGAATTCTTGGTACCAATAGATTTAGGGACATGACCCCTATCTTTTAAGCTCAAAGTCCTAGGGTTATGAACCCATTTAGGCACATGTGGTGCGCTAACACGGTCAAAACAAAAATTACTCAAATGACCCTTTCGATTGTAATAAGTACAATGGAAAGGAAACATTTGCTTATGTTGACCAAACGGTTGTGCACGAGACTCATTTGCAAAAATAGATTGTTTTTTAAAATTATTTTGCAAATGAGAAACTCTCTTCAAATCAAAACAAAACTTGGTCAAATGACCAAATCTACCACAATGATCACACTTAAACTTTTGTGGTCTTTTAAAATCATTTAGCAAAAGTGAAGTCTTTTTCAAATCATAGTAAAATTTTGCCAAATGGCCAAAACGTCCACAAAGATCACATTTAAACACATGAGCATGCTTATGATGAACTTTATGAGTGTGTGCATGTACATGTGTATGTGATGAAGAAACTTGATGAGATGCACAATGAGCTTAAGCATTCTTATATTTGTGTACATCATAGCAAAATTTAGATAAATGGCCTTTACGACCATAAATGGTGCACTTGTAAACTTTGCTATACAAGTATGCATAGTGTGTGTTTGATTTAGAAGTGTCAACACGGGACTTTGCACACTGATAATCATATTTTATTACAATTTTATACCCTCATTATCTATTTTATATGAATAAATATGCTACTAATAACTGTTCTTATCTTTAATTACAGGTTAATGAAGAATAAATCTCAAACTCTAATCTCTCAACAAAAAGCCCTTGATTTAATGAAGAAATGAAGCCCATGAAGCCAAAGGAATTCTTTCAAATATTTAATGAAGAAATAAATCAAAGCCCAGTGGAAAAATCAAGAGA